TTCTATGCCTTTAAGATGGTAATTCTAACAGCATTCAGAACAGTGGACTAACTAGTCCGAGGTTCAAATATGGCCAACCCACTTGAATACTTCCTTACAGGGAATCTAATCAGTGTCTATTAGCGAATTAGATGGCAAGCTTTGTAGCGGGTCGCCATTTTTGACCCTCAGACCAGTTAGTCCACTGTTCTATATGAAGTCCCTGTTTTCAAACTGACATAAGATTTAAACTGTTCACCTCAAAGCAATGCAGAGGAGCTGTACTGAATTTAGAAACAAGTTTTATTGGCTAATTTTTTAAATACTCAATCATGTAAAGGTTGCAATGTATTATTTATTCCATCTTTCCTTCCTTCCTCTGATACTACTTCCCTTTTTTCTGAGGAAATAGCAGGCAATATTGAGATCAGCTGGAAAAAAAAAGGAAAATCCTCTCACATACTTAACAGTTATCCTATAAAACATAGCATGATATCTATTTGTTAATCATTGCTAAATAATCTCTTTAAAAGAGACAAAACAAAAAACCTTTAATCTCAAGTACCAGTCATGATCAGTCTAAATGCATCAGTCCTCATCTTAGTGAAAGGATATAAGCTTTCTGAATCTATTGACATTTACGGTCTGCTTTGATTACAAGATCACACTGCAGAGTGGGATATTTTGCAGGCTTAAAATAATCTTGGCTTGTTTAACCAACACATTAAGGGCGTGTCTGATTGTCACTACTTCAAAGAATCACGAAAGGAACAATGGAACAGCATCCGTAATATGACAGATTGATTACAAGGTGTTGAAAGAATGGATTTTATAGATTCTATCAGAGAGACTATTAAGTTGTTTTTTGCATTGGACAATAAGGGTTTTAAAGTGATTGTTTTACAAGAGCCAAATAGTTCAAAGAAATCCTACTTTGCACTAAATATATAATGTTTCCCCTTTTCCACACTGTGGGCATGCCATACCAAACATGGGAAATTCATGAGCTAAATTTATATGAATCATTATTTTGTTATATTTGTGTTACCTTCCGTCACTTTCACACATACATGTACATGCACGTGCATGTGCACATACACACACACACACACACACACACACACACAGTACCTTGGACATTTAGGACATTTCAAATTTCCAGGAAAATTTACTTTTTTTTCAATGTCCAATGCTCATTTTTGTCAATGTCCAATGCTCATAGTTTGATTTTTTTTCATAAACTCCTCTATTCCTAAGAACTATTTTTTCCTGAAATGCAATCATATACTGAAGTACTTCTTGATACATGTGAATGCTTAGTTTATTTGCAAATCAAGTATTTATTGCACATCCATTTTTCCTATCACATTTGACATTCAGTGCAACAAATTGAATTTATGCTCACCCTTAGAACCTTCTGACAAATGTTAACAAGTGACAGCTTTTCTTGCTTCAATGAAAATGATGCAATTCCAAATATTCACTCATTGTAATTTGCCATTGAAATCAATCTGAAAAAACAAGTAAACTGGGGATGGGCAATGATTTTTCTTTTCAAAAGTCTCAGAAATGTGCCTTGTTCACATCTATATAAACATCCAGTGAACCAAGTCTGAATCTGAAGCTGAACTTTTGCCAGGACACATGTGTATAGTCATACTGTGTGACAACCAACTTGATTGCCATCAGAGCAGTTAATGTCACTATAATCAAGATGTTATTTGGTCTCTTTAAGATAAGGGTAATTGATGGTCCTTTTAAGGTATCCTATCTGAGATTTTAGCACTCAATCAAATTTTCCTGAATTATCTCCTTCTCAAGAACCACTGTCTGACCAACTCAAGCAGTTGGATTCAATCTTTTAAACCATTTCTAGCTAAATATTTTAGTTCTAAATGCCTGACCAAATGTTTTGGCTGCCCTCTCTTCTTTTTATAGTATCATTCAGAATCAAATATCGATATCAGATATTTTCATTGCATTTTTTTTTTTTTTTTTTGCTTTTAATGTCTGAATTGGGAAAGAGTGGTACCCTTGCAGGATATGTACTAATACAAAATATGACTATGGTTTATTTTCAAATGTGTATAATATACCTTTAGTAATCAACTAAATATGAACCACATTTTATGCAGGGTCACACTGTTAGATCACTATAAAGTATACCGATTTCCAGTCAATTTCTGACACCTGAATTCGGCACATACATTGTATGTAATTTCAATTTCTAACTAAAGAAAGCCCATTTATATTGGATTATAATCAATAATGTGTGGGACAGAAATGCGATAAGACAGGCTTCCTATAATTTACACAACAAAATTACAATTATATAAGTGGGTTAATGTTTGCTAAGTTAAACTGACCAAACCTGGCTGGAAAAAGTTCCTGTAAAGCACATTCAGACAAGAATGACTTTAAACCGGTTTAAGATTGATATAATGCTGTTATGTAATCAGGCTATGATAATTGACTAAGCATTCACATGCAGAGGGTACAAAGGAAATCTTTACCAATCTGACCTTATCAAACAGATAGATGCCTCTCTGCACTAGGCGTATTGAAATTCCTGGCTGAGTAGCCCTTTTTTTCTAACGAAGCAAATTAGACCAATTTTCCTAGGCTTAGGTAGTGCTCATCCAAAGAGAGTGTAATTCACCTCGACAGCAGTTAGCTCTATCTCTTGGCTGCCCTACATGTAACTGTTGCCGTGAAATAAGTAGCTGCTAAAAGCATCTTTCAACACTGAATAGTTTCACATTAGGGGGAATGTGTACAGGGTAACTAATATTATATATATAAATAATTATGTAAATCTCATTGGCACATATGAATTGGGATTCTGAAATTTCTGATGCCCAGAGGAATTTATTGGACCCTCATATTCATGTATTTCATAATAAATTTATTATTGTAGTACATTTATATATTTTATAATAACCCTGACTTAACGAGCACTGCATACATCAATATAATGATACTAGTACAAGATGACAGTATGCACAGGAATTCTGAAACCTAAAACTTTTATAAATTACAAATGCAATTTAATATTTTTCTTAATAAATGTCACTAAAACATGACTAAAAAGGTAGTTTTAAGAGAATGCTAAACTACATGTTTTTTTTTAAGGATAATGAATGATAATATAAAAATAGCATATTTGAAAGAAGTACACTTGCTCAGATCCTATTTATCTTTAAAGGTTGCCTATCATCATAGACTTCTGTTCTTAGAACATGCCCCGTTTTACTGCATGCAGTCACCTCTTAGAAGGTATAGAAAGCAGTTCAAAGAAGTATACATAACTACATTAAGCCATCCTCGTTCACTTGCTATCACAATTCTTAAAAAATCACCCTGGGTTTCAGATTGAGTCAACTCTGGTACTCTGTAGCTACTTTCTAAGGAGGAGGGGGGGGGGGGGGCTCACAAAGTTATCAATGAAACTCTGGGTTCAGAAGCAAGTGGTAAAGATAATTGCTTTTTCATGAACATGGCCAGTATACCACACATAAACAGGCCAGTTCAAAAAAGGTTATTCTGCCTGGAATTCTCAGATGATTATAAAATAATATTTGAGTCTCTTGCTCTCTGCCTCCCAACTTTCTCTCTTTTTCTTTGCTCTCTCTCTCTTTCTCTCTCTCTCTCTCTCTCTCTGCCAACCAAAGCATTCTATCTTTATCTTTGCTCCCTGTGCTCCTTCCTCCAACTTCATCTTTTCTTTCTGCAATCTCTCTCTCTCTCTCTCTCTCTCTCTCTGTGTGTGTGTGTGTGTGTGTGTGTGTGTGTGTGTGTCCATGCGCATGTGACCAAAATAGTCAAGGCACATCCAACATTTGGTTAAATAATTTCATATCATTATCTAAAACTAACTGAAGAAAGTAAGACATGATTCCACTCACCCTATGCCCGATCTATCTCCCAACTTATTAAAATAATAATAAAACTTAATATATGTAGATGTAGGTGGGGCTAAATTTATGGAAACATATCTCAGAGGACACCACTAATCATTTAGATATGATACTAAAATAGTCTACCCTCTGCCTGCATGGTATTTGTCTTGAAACAGACTAATTAGTAATCCTGGTCTTGTGGCTGTTAAATGAAGTTTGTGTAGGTGTACTTTAGCTCCTGATGAATGACCACAGCTAAATGTCACAGGAAGGAAATTGGATATTTGTGGGTGTTTAAATTGGAATATATATATATATATATATATATTTCCACATGAGCACACAGGTTACTCTTTTTATTAAAAATCTTTGTTTGGATGACGTAATAATTACCTGCTATCAACTTTTCTACCCCTATATAAGCAAATATCTAAATTGAATATTAATTGAACATATAAACAAGGCAGACTGTATTAATAAATATACACGGAAAAACAAAACAACATAAATATTATAAAGGATCAATAAATAAAATAAATATATGAATACATAAATAAATAAAATATATGAGGGAAAAATAAAAGTACAGATAAAAACAAGTAAGGTATCTTTGAGACAGTCCTTTATGATGTGGGTGTATAAAGCTATAAGTCACTGTGACTGAATGAATTAGATAATATACAACATATCACTCATTCCATAACATAATTTTCATTTTAAGATACTTCATATCGTCTCAAAAGTAATACTTTCTGACTCAAACTCTGCTTTCTCCTTGGCATTTCATATTTCAATTTTCTTCAAGTACAAGAGAAAATACTATTATTATTATTATTATTATTATTATTATTATTATTATTATTATTATTATCAATAATCAATTAAAAACAATACAAACATTAAACTTGAATACTATTTCTACTCACATCCATAATCAAACTCTTCCAGGCACTGTATCTACTGTGTTAATTCTACAAATCTACAGATATGTTTCATTTTCCATTACTCTCCAAGAAACATCAGTTTCTACATTTTTCACTGAGGAGGTAGACAATTAACCTATGAATCTAATTTATACTTTGAATGAAATCTTTTCAACTTATCACTTTGAGATGCCCCCCTCTGCTGGCTTCACCCAATCATCTTTGCCTTGTCTGCCGGCTGAGCTAGACTAATGTTGGCCTGACATTCATCCCAACTTGTGAGTGTGTTATTGCTGAGGCAGAGAGAAGTGAAGAGAAGAAAAGAGAAGAGAAGAGAAGAGAAGAACAACGGGTCATGCAACATTGCCACAGTCTGTTACCTACATGCAGGCGTGCTTGATCATCATTGAATTTACAGTGGATTTTCATGCAGGCTAAATGTACAGACTCAAATTTGGAGTCTCTGAGGAACTAAATTGAAACACGACAGGAAAGAAAACCTAAGTTGTGGATCAAACCCCAATGCAGTTAAGGTACCAAAGATTAGAGCCAACACATTAAGCAGATAAACTGTCAGAATACCTATTTGTCATAAATCAAGTATAGGAGCCTATGGGGAAGCAAGGGAGAAGTCAACTTATCACACATTAAAGATATTTGGTAAGGCGCTGACATAAACAATACTGACGAAATGTAACAACATTGACGTTGTCAACTAACAGTCTTGCTGGTAGATACACAGCACAAACAAACCAGGAGAATATTTCTTTTTTTTATCTATCACTGCCAACAAAGCCTTCCCTGATAACACCTTTACTGTACAGCAACAAAGTGGGAGTTTCACTTACGAAAGTAAGAGATACTAGTTTCTAATAACACTTCAAAAAGCTTTTAAAACAATGCCATTAAAAGTAGGCACCGCTGCACTGATTTGTGAAAGCGTTAAAAAAACTTTGCCAAGAAAATAATTCCATCACTGTGACTTATAAATAGATATATGACAGCTACATGTATATGGCACCATCAGTATATGAACAAGGCAAACCAGCATAAATGCTCATATTCAATGTGACTGCTTGTTGGGAAATGTAGTCTCTATGGAACTGTTTATTCATAAGAAGAATTCACTTGGGCTATAGTGAGAAACAGTTTGGTACCACATTCAAGGAAGCAAGGAATACATACTGTAGGTATTGGCATCCTTGTATTGCAATATTAACCAGTAAATACAAGTAAGAAGGGGGTGGGAGGACTTTGGGATAGGGCTTATACAAAATCACCCTTTTGGTCAGGAAAAGGTCTGTTTTGGATCAAAATCTGATCTAGGTTTTGTGCCATCATGGTAAAAAGGTCAACTTTTTTTCAGAAAAAAAGACCTCTCTCCCTTCAAAATGCTAATTACAGGCCTGAATGAAGTTCAAAGCTTTAAGTGTTACAGATGTGTTTTAACCCTTGCACTGTTCACAGGTACATGAGAAGGTACCCAGGTACCATGGAATGTATATTATAAGGTAAATTTGGAAGAAGTGTTTTAATAGCTAGGCTAATAAAATTAAGAGATAATGCTGTGAGATAACACTTAAACAGGCCTGTAGGTAGAGGGATATGGGGGAAGGGGGGATAGAATGACCAGGGAAAGGTCCATGCTTAAGTGAGAATCATTTTGGATCTATGCCATTAAAGATAAATGTAGATGTTGCAGTAAAGACACTACTTTTTCACCCCCCCCCCCCCCTTTGAAATAGCTTTCTAAGAATGTCCTGCTTCAGATACCATGATAGTTTTTTTTTTTATTTCCATTTGTGCTGGTTGTAATATATCAGAAAGAATGCAGTCTGTGATACAAATCATATAAATTATGAAGAAAATTTGGATGTCTTACAGAATGCTATAGAAGCATTATAAGAAAAAAGCATTTTTATTTTTTGGCTCTAGCCAAAATGAGCCACAGGGCTTGGAAGACGTCAAAAATTCTATTGTAAGATTTCCAAAAAGAAAATTATATATTTCCTTTATGGGCAGATGTCAAAAATTCTTTTGTTAGATTTCCCCCAGAATATCATCCTTTATGAATCCACCTGAATTGGTACAAACAAGTAACAGTAACTAGGTAGAAGTGGTTGTTATTCCATTGATTGCATCATTTTTTAATGATGAACTTAGTCTTCATATAATAATAATAATAATAATAATATACCTGTCACCATGAGATGAGATATTGTATAAAATAAATATGTCATCTGGTGCAGAATGGGAAGTGCCTGGGATCTATATATGTTTGAATGTGCCCTTTTGTCACCATGAACTTCATCTTCATAATAATATATATTTTACGTGTGTGTGTGCATGCGTGTGTGTGTGTGTGCATGCGTGTGTGTGTGTATGTGTGTGTGCATGCGTGTGTGTGTGTGTGTGCATATGTGTGTATGTATGCGTGTGTGCATATGTGTGTGTGCATGCATGTGTGCGTGTGTGCATATGTGTGTGTGTGTTTGTGTATGTATATGTGTGTGTGTGTATATGTGTGTGTATGTATGTGTGTGTGTTCATGTGTGTGTGTGTGTGCATATGTGTGTGTATGTATGTGTGTGTGTGTTTGTATTTGTGTGTGTGCGTGTGTGTGTGTGTGTGTAAAGGAAAGAAGAAATTGTTCAATGATAGCTGCTAGGTGCAACACTGATTGCATCTTCATTAAGAACAGAGAACAAAATGGATGACAAAAATGGTGTCTGTATGTGGTCATTGTTGAAAACCCGCAGTATCACATGATCATCTGTGTTCAATGTACCCATACATTTTAATCCCACAAATGTTATCAGAGAATTCATCAGCTGGATCCAAAGTGAACATTTGTCCATTTCTTCATAATAACATGCCCTCCCCCCAAACTTTCAAATAGGTGGTTACAGATCTGACAATTTACAGGTTTGTTCCTTCGAGAAGCGAGTTAACTTGGATAGGTCTCTTCACCAGACTAAGACCCCATTCCCACAAATTTTAGATCGATCTATCCCTGTGGGGAGTCTCATTAGATTACTGTCAGCTTAGCCGGCTTAAGTGTCTGTCCTGCCTACTAAAAGCTGTAAGTGGGTACTTACCTATCGTGTACGCTCGGCTGACTGCAATTTAGCATGAGCTCCCAGGGAGTTAGGTCAATCCGGATGGATCGATCTAAATCTCTGGGAATGCACTCTAAGATTTAAGTTTGTTGAATGTCATATTTTCTGGCTTTTTGTACTGATCTGCTGCAGTAATTGTAATCCTGACGCGCAAATCTCATAAATAATAATAATAATAATAATAATCTTCCTATCAAATGGCAGAAAAAATGCTGTTTTTTGAAAATTCTTTTTCCTTTGTACCTTTAAATCACTATGCACAGACATGAAGTTCACAACCTGACATCTATCAGATGATGACAGATGACAGTGCTAACAGTCAAACTAATTACAGCATCATCATTAGTTACATATGACAGAATACCCCTTCAAGGCACCACATCACTGAATGAACTTATGAAGAAACAAGCACCTCCATGCAGCATAAACAAGCTACACAATTCATCTACTGTGCTCTGAATTTTAGCTGTTGTTCGATGATCGAAATAATCATTCTGTTTAATTTGCATGGACTGAGAATTTCATAAAAGAGCTACTCTGTGTAAGATAAAGTGCCCCTCTAACCATAAGATTATGGGTAATTACATACTAGAAATATACATTTCAAGCTTTTTCTTCTATCCTATATCTTTAGTTATTTCACAATGCAAAACTATCTGTTTCTTAAGTGAATGTAACTGAAGTGTTCGAATCCCTATACTCGACCATTCAGAATTTTCTATAATCTATTTTCTTGCAATAAAAAAGGCAAGACTATCTTGACGTCATACTAGTTATGTAAATTCTAGCACATGTTTCAGGACAAACTGCAGCAGGTATCTGTTATGCTTTTCACACAGCAAAACTAATCCTAAGGGTCTTTTACAAATTGATGTTTATATCAATGACGTAAGCTTGATCCTCCCAACAGCATAATAGATAAGCTTACCAATATTTTTTCCCTGAAAGCCGTCATGTGATAAATAAGTTTGCAGTGGGACAATGGGGTATGTTTACACAAGAACCACTTGGGACCAATAGTTGGTCTTATTTGTTTTTTCAGACAACCTGATTATAGGACAATATATTACACCTAAGTAATTTTTATTTCTCCATTCTGCATGTAAATCCTCTCAGAAAAAAATTATATACTAAAAACAAAAACTTGCATTCTTGATATAAAGTACCAACAGAAATGCCACCAGTTTGATAGAGGGTATGAGACATTCCAGAGAGGAATCACTCCAGTTGTTTTATGACACTAGTTATCCCAAGGTCCAGTTCAAAGCATTTCTTGTCTGAACTCACCCACTGTCTGCCACAGTGTCATTATGTAACTGAAATTACCAAATCACTGACAGCAAGCCTGTACAGTTTTAATAAGGACACTATTTGTATCTATAGGAATGCAACTTGCTCATCACTTTCATCAATCTTATGGAAATTGCTGATGGAGTTTGGACTTATTATTTTCATCAATTTTACGGTAATTATTCATGGAATCAGGATTTGACACAGCATGGCTGAGTTTAAAAAAATGCCCTTTTTTTTTCAAGATAATCCCTTTACCAAACTTTGCTTGATTCATCCCTGCACTTGGATCCATTGTTGTATACCAGTTTAAAATAATTTAAATACTTTTGCATATTTTCCATAACATTTAGACATTTAGATCATCATGTCTTCCTGTACGTATGAGAAGGAAATGCCAACATCAGGTATTTTTATGAAAGGATTTTTAAAAATAATTCCTGAGGTCTGAATTGGGGCAGCATTAAGACACCATGCAGGATATGTAGATATATAAAAAATATGGCATTGGGACAGTTTCAAACATGGATAGTATGCATACCATGATGCATTATTTTAGCAGTTCTTATTGGTAATTTACAACAAAGTCTCCCAGCGTCAGATCAACCTAATTAGCTTTTCAAAATAAGGGTTCATTAAATATTAATATAGCCTTACGTCAGATATACATGTATAATATTATCGAAATATGACCTCAAAATATGATGAACTAGAAAAAGACTCAGACAGGAAAGACCTCTATCAAGGCAGTTTAATTCTCATTGTTGATTAATAAATGAATAAAGGATTGGAATTCCCTATTTATGACCTAACAGGATTTCCTGAAAATTTTATTAAAATCCATCAAGTAAACTTTTTGAGTAAGGCTCTAAACAAGAAGAGAACACCATAACCTCCACAGCAGTAAAATCACAGTGAGAGATGTGTCAGAGGGGCCATTTAGAATGAGAAGAGCCGAGTGCTAGCTGGTCCACGGCCTACATGACAGGAACACCGCTTAATCCTGAAACGATATCTCCGCCTCTTTCATGCCTACTCATGCATCGTCTCTACGGGGGCACAGTAATAAAATCTGGGCTCAATTCGACCGGTCGAGGGACCAGCTGAGGACCAGCTAACACTCGGCTCTTCTCATTCTGAATGGTCACAGAGACGAGTTGAGAGGCAAAGAATGCCAATCTTGTCAATTTATATTTTCATTTTTATGAACAATATACAGCTTTAAAAATCCACTTGCCCATTGGGACTGTTTTAAGGGCTCATTTCCAATGAAACTATTGTTCTACATAGATTGGTCCAACTCCACGAGGACTTTTGCTGAATGTAATCATATCAACAGTCTAACATGCCTCCTCTTGTGTTGAGTAGAATATGGAAAAACTGGTGATTATAAAAGTATGTTGGCTGCAAGGGTCCATGCAGAGTTGGATCGATCCACAATAGAATGAAAGTTTCATTTGGGAATGTGCCCACATTATCTAATAGGCTGAGAGTATATACTAGTGAAAATATCACAAACTGGTTCTTACATATAAATACAAATAAGTGCTATTTATAAGAAAAATTCGTAAGATATTTGACTGATTTATTAAAAAATAATATTCATATTGTAAACATTACCAAGAAATTGGCTAAATATATCATCAATGGACAAGAAATGTTGCTACACCAGTGTCAAAATATTGCAATACCTGTCAGCAAATGTGAATATGAGCACAGAAATTATCAAGCACATTTCCATGTCTGACAGAAAAAAAATAATGATTAATGAGCATCT